TAATGTCAAGCTTGCTGAAAATTTACCGTTCTTACAAGACACTGTGTTCGGATGGGTGGTCGGAGGACTCGTTGATTCTACAGCCTGGAACTACAAGATGGTCAGTTGCAATGTGGCGTGTCAAGAACCAAACTTGGACAAGCTGATTGAGAAGTTTTGGGAATCTGAGGAAGTTTCTACAAATACGAAAATGTCGCCGGAAGAGGTGGCATGTGAGGACTACTATATGCAAACTACTACGAGGGACTCGAGCGGACGATATACTGTGAAGCTACCATTTCGAAGCAATGTGAATCAACTAGGTGACTCGATGCATCACGCTCTGCAACGGTTCACCTACCTCGAGAAGAAATTGAGCAGAGATGCGGAACTCAAGAAAGCGTATTGTGAATTTGTGGAAGAGTACATTCGACTTGGTCATTGCCGAGTTCTGAACGAAACGGAAGACACATCGGACGGTTACTTTCTACCGCATCATGCTATACTGAAACCATCGTCATCTACCACGAAGTTACGCACTGTATTTGATGCATCTGCGAAGTCTACTTCTGGTCTATCCCTCAACGACACGCTTATGGTGGGACCGACCATTCAAGATCCTCTCGTTGATATATGCGTACGGTTTCGAATCTATCCCGTCGTTTTTACTGGAGATGTTTCGAAAATGTTCAGGATGATTGCAGTGAGCCTTGAGCATACCAAGTTCCTGCGTGTTTTCTGGAGATCCAACCCTTCCGCTCCGTTGATGATTCTCGAGCTAACTACAGTAACGTACGGGACGGCGTCAGCACCATACTTGGCCACTCGAACATTGAAACAGTTAGTACAGGACGAAGGACACGCATTTCCAAGGGCAGCCAATACTGGAGAACGATTTTTACATCGACGATGTGTTGTCAGGAGCCGATAGTTTGGAAGAAGCTACGGAGGTACGTACAGAATTAGTGGAGCTGCTACGAAAGGGAGGTTTTGAACTACACAAGTGGTGCTCGAATTCTCCAGAATTACTAGCATCAATCCCAGAGGATCTTCGTGAACAGCAGGTGTCATTCGAACAACACGGAGTCAACAATGTGATTCGAACGTTTGGCTTACTTTGGGACCCGTCAAACGATCAATTGAGGTTCCACATAGAGCCAGCTGACCATTCGCAACCGGTAACGAAACGTTTCATTCTCTCTGAGATCGCCAAAATCTTCGATCCAATGGGTCTCTTGGCACCGGTGGTGGTTGTTGCTAAGCTTCTTATTCGGCAGCTGTGGAGGGCAAAAATGTCGTGGGATGAAGAATTACCAACGGAACTGTTGGAGGCATGGAAACGATTTCGTGCTGGTCTGCAAGCATTGACGGATTTGAAGCTCGAACGCCTGGTAGTTTCGCCTCGGAGGATTGCAGTCGAAATACACGCCTTCTCTGATGCAACTTTGGGAGCCTTCGGAACGTGTGTTTACCTTCGAAGCATTCATGAAGACAATACGGTGGAAGTAAACTTTCTGGTCAGCAAATCTCGGGTAGCATCCAAGGGTACTATTCCTAGACTGGAACTGTGTGGCTTTCAGCTCATGGCAAGGTTGGTTACGCAAGTGGCAACGGCACTCAAGATGGATTTTCGACGAAAGATGATGTGGTCAGATTCACAAATAGACTTGTGCTGGGTACGAAAGGCTCCACACCTGCTGAGTACCTACGTTGGCAACAGAGTGGCTGAAGTACAAGAACTTACGTCTTCCTACGAATACGGTTATGTTAGGTCGAGCGATAATCCAGCAGATCTAGTGTCACGAGGTCTCGATGCGAAGGCACTAGTTCAGAGTCAAGTTTGGTGGCACGGGCCAGAGTACCTACGGCAAAATCAGTACGCAGAAGAGGTTCCGGAAGAAGTGAAGGATCTACCAGAAATGCGGGTTGCGATGTTGGCAAGTTTGTCCATGACCGACATGCCTGTACTTACGAAGTTTAGTTCCTTCAGACAGCTGCAGCGTGTGATGTCTTACGTTATCCGTTTCTACAATAAGGCGAGGAAACTCAGGATGGTAGGTGATGATTCGAAATATGTTACAGTCAAGGAGATGAGATTGGCCATCGTCAGAATGGTTCAACAGCAGCAGTTAAGCGAAGAAATACAGCAGATCGACAAGTGTCAGAAAAACGAACAACAGGGAAGATATGTAGGAAGACTACGAAGCCTGAATCCGTGGATGGATGAAAATGGAATCTTGCGGGTTAACGGAAGAATCAAGTATGCCAACGTGTGCTACGATCAGAAGCACCCTTCTATCCTTCCTGCTGAGCATCCAGTGACAAAGTTATTGATACAAGCTATTCACAACGAGAACCTTCACGTTGGTCCAAGTGGTACCCTCTCGATTATCAGGCAGCGTTTCTGGATTATCAACGGTCGGAACGCTATCCGACAACAACTCCGGAAGTGTATAGTGTGTTTCAAGGTCAAGATCTACATGGGAAACTTACCAAACTACAGGGTGACCCAGGAACACCTTTTTCAGCGTACGGGGATAGATTTTGCGGGACCTATTTACGTTCGCAAGGGACACCCAAGGAAGCCAGTCTACGAAAAAGGATACGTGGCATTGTTTATATGCATGGCGACAAAGTGCATCCATATCGAACTTGTGTCAAACCTTACGACAAGTGCCTTCATAGCAGCTCTGCATAGGTTCGTTGGTCGTCGCGGGCTTCCATCCGACATCTTTAGCGACAACGCCACTAATTTTGCCGGCGCAAGCTCAGAACTGCATGAACTTCACGTACTTCTGCGTCAACAACAGACAATCCAAGCCATCGAGGAATTCAGAATGCCACACGTAGGAGGTTTATGGGAGGCTAGTGTTAAATCAACAAAATACTTCCTGAAGCGCACAGCAGAAGAAGCTAAACTAACCGAAGAAGAGTGGCATACGTTGCTGGTTCAGATTGAAGGCTTGCTAAACTCACGCCCTCTGATAGCACAGTCTTCCGATCCAAGCGACTACAACTTGATTACACCGGGCCATCTGCTGATTGGTCGTGCTATCAACGCAATTCCTGAACCAAGCTACGATCACCTCAAACCGGGAACACTCTCTAGATGGCAGCACATTCAGAAAACGCGAACGGATTTTTGGAAGCGTTGGTCAGTTGACTATTTGGCAGAGTTGCAGCAGAGACAGAAGTGGAGCAAGCATCATACCGAGGTCAAAGTTGGTGATCTTGTGCTAATGAAGGAGGATAATATCCCACCAGCTCAATGGAAACTTGGAAGGGTGGTCTATACCCATCCAGGTAAGGACAAGGTAACACGAGTGGTATCGGTGCGAACCACGGCAGGAGTGTTCAAGCGTTCGACGGCGAAAGTAGCGATACTTCCGTTGGATGATGAAGAGAAGCAGCTTGTAGCTGATTGAATTTCCAAGAAATCCAATGGCGGGGAGAATGTTCCGTCATACCGATGGATTTTGCAACGCAGTGAAGAAATGTATAACACTGAACTAAATTTATAGTAATTTTTCTTTTGCTCTTTTTTTTAGCTTCCGTTTTTGATTTCCTTCGTACACATCTCTTTGTACTTTTCTAAAATCATCCAGAATAAACAAAACGTTCAAGTACAGTCCACGCGTTTTTACTACGTCTCGACAATCTCAAAACTGTTTTAATTTTAATTTTAATTTTTTTAAGAATTGCTCATCGACATATATTTTGAACATTTTCCTATGTCCTAAATATATTTATTTTATGTACACATGGCCATATTTCAAAACCAGAAATTTAAAAAATTACAAATAAAAGTCCTTGAATTTAATGCTGGTACCGATGTCTGATATTAATTGATGATTTATTATAGATGATCTTAAAAAATCTATTTACATGGAATTATCTAACCCTAAGAATCTATCTAACATGAGCATTATCTTAATTTTGAGATCTTTAATATTCTTATGAGATCTGGACAATATATAATTTCATTACAAAAAACTTCAACAAACGATCATTGCTTGTTCAAAATCAGTATGCTTTTAAGGCTCTCCCCCAAGCGCTGTTATGAAATAAATACAACAAATTTTAACGTTTCACCATTAGATTAATAATAAGGTTCACCATAATAGGTTGTATTATTGGACGAAGTGGAAATGTATTCAACAGGAAAAAATAGCCTTGACACCTTTTGATTGAATGGCAGCTCCAGATTTTCTATTTAACCGTAGTCAACAAAACAAAAAAAAAGCCCCCTACAGAAAATTTTTCTAGCCACCCCAATGAGAGTCGGAGTCTTAGCGAAGTCGTCTAATTTATGGCAAAATATGGCTTGTATTTCTGCGAATACAACGTATATTCGTTATAAGTCACGTAAGAACGTAGATTGATACATTTATTTTTCGAGCAGTTTTAAGACGACCGCCACTAGCGATTCCATGAAAATGAAGCAATAAATTCCAGATTTTACTCAAGCTAGCCATAAATAAAACCGTTCTTTCTCGACGATCTACTTACAAGAATTTTCGTTTTCGAAATATTGTTCTACCGTATAGTTCGAGTGGCAGCAAACGTCATTTTAAACTGCTCGAATGATGTGATCAGGGTTGCTTCCACTCACTTGCTATAAAAAATATTTTTTTTCGGAATTATGCAATCATTAGATGATATAATGATATGTTGTTCTTGTAAGTAACAAGAATTGGGTGTAAAGTACGTGTTTGATTCATAAAACCTGTCAATTTCGCTTTCAGGGCGTCACAATCAGCGATCTTATGATTCGTGAGCGTTCACTCAGAGTGAGCGCTCACGATTCGTAAAATCGATTATTGTGACGCACTTAAAGCCTTATTGACAGATTTGATGTGTCAAGCACGTACTTTACGATCTCTTCTTGTAGTTTACAAACACTTATTATCATTATACCATCTCATGATTTCATAATTCCTAAAAACATTTTTTTATAGCAAGTGAGTGGAAGTAACCCTGGATGTGATCCATTCTTATTTTTCAATAAATCGTCAACTTACCGGGTGATATCACAATCGCTGGAGGTGATGCAATCCTCGGCGTACTGCTTGGCCAGAACCATCGGCGGCCGGCAAACACTGGCACTGCCCAGCGTCGAGATGTCGCACACCAGACCGGACTCGCAGTCGGAATCCCGTAGGCAGATTTCGCCGTACTTGCGCCCCAGTGGGAAAACACAATGTCCAACGACTGAAATAGGCGAAACTTGATAGATCAGAAGCAAAAAGAAGAAAGAAAAAGAACAAACACAGGGGAAAAAAACGAGGTGGTAGAAAATTCGATTAGTGCAATCAATCGCTACGGTGGCTGCTGCTGGTGATGCTATTATGCTTATGTTTTTTTTTAACTCCACTATCCTACGCCTATACAAACGGTTTCGAGGAATGAGGATGTGTTGTATGTACCTTTATTCTATTTGAATGACAACATCGAGATGATGGGACTGTTTGGTTGTGAGTGTTGGTCGTATGTGGTGGAGCGAATAGATGAGATGATTCACACTGATTTTCCACTACGGACTACGGACACTAAGAAAAGAAACCATCGAATAGCTTAGATCGCCACCAACCATCCAGATTACGCAACGTAACGGTTTGCCATAAATTATCGAAAAACACGCAGATGCTTTTACACTACCGTTCTTAGGATAACGCAGAGGCATGGGTTGTGAGCAATGGGCTAATGGAGTCTTGCTTATGGAGTGTTTGTTTTGAAAAAGGTCATTTTACTCCCTCCGGTGGAAATATTTAAGTAGTTCCATACATCACTTTCTGAGCGAGCCTTTTCTCCTGCGCTATACATTTTTATCAGTAAATATTTTTTTCAAGGATTTCCTCTCAAAGGGTAAGGTATACACTTCGCTTTTAATGTTTTTTACAGGCTCATGGTAACGAAACTTCTTCTTTGGATATTTAAACTGAAACGTTACGCCTACCATCAACTTATGACAGACATGATTGTCGCACCATTGTACTCATTTAATCTAGTCTGCTGATTGCAGTACTGGATTAAAGGTAAACAACCATAGTGGTAACTCTAAGACCAGAAGGTCCCGAAGAAACGTGCTCAGCTTTTTGGGTCAGCTCTGGTACTCTCTTCGGTCTCAAGCTAATCGATGCACCCCTCGAAACATAGGAAAATACATGAACCCCTCACTTAATCTGTGAAACTTTCATAGCGAATCAAAACAAACATTTTGTAGTAGTAGAATTTCGACTAGAATGGGGTACGTTAATCGATGTACCTTGGGACCGATTGGCTAGTCAAGTAGTGAGTCAATATAAAATTGTTAGTTTCCACCGGTTGGTTGTACCATAGAGGTAACTCTAAGACTAGTAGGTCCCGAAGAAACATGCTCAACTTTTTGGCTCAGCTCTGGTACTATCTTCGGTCCCAAGCTAATCGATTCACCTCTCGCAACATGGGAAAATCCAATAACCCCTCATTTTATCTGTCAAACTTTCATAGCGAATCAAAACAAACATTGTTTAGTAGTAGAATTTAGACTAGAATGGGGTACGTTAATCGTTTGCTTGGGACCAATAGGCTAGTCAAGTAGTTACCCAATTTAAAATGGTTAGTTTCGTATTGATTGTTGGTTGTACTGCTATTAACTAGTACATCAAATTGTACTTTTTGGGGTACTAGATTAAATAAGTACTACCAACCGGTTGAAACTAACGATTTTAAATTGGCTCACTACTTGACAAGCCTATTGGTCCCAAGAACATCTATTAGCGTACCACATTCTAGTCTACATTCTAGTACTATAACGTTTGTTTTGATTTGCTATGAAAGTTTGGCAGATAAAATGAGTGAGGGGTTCGTGGATTTTCCTATGTTTCGAGGGGTGCATCGTTTAACTTGGGACCGAAGATAGTACCAGAGCTGAGCCACAAAATTGAGTACGTTTCTGCGGGACCTTCTGGTCTTAGAGTTACCTCTATGGTACCACGGTACTGCTTTGTATGTCTTTTGATGGTATAAAATCGTTAGTTTCATTCAGGTTGGTACAACGGTACTACAATCATGTTGTTCGATGGGATTACCGACTGAACATATCCAGATAACGAGTAAAAAGTTGGTATTATTTCTGGAAAAATGTTTTGAAAATCGATCGTCTCATAGTCAGCCGAGATACACAACAAGAACATATCACACAGAACACTATAACAAAGTTGATGCAAGTGTGATTGATTTGCTTCAATCATCAAGACAAGGTTCTGTGCGCCTTCCTGTATGTATCCTGACCCAGTGTTCTATTAAGAGTACCTCTATTATATAGCCATAAAACAATACAGTTTAAGTCAGTGCATGGAAGGGTATATGATTGATTGGAGGTGGATGAGAAAAGACCAGACACACCAATGAATGTGACATGCACTGTTCATACATAATAGACATAATTGAGGTGTCATATTCGTATCCTCGTGGCGGGCGTGTTTGACGCTAAACACGCTGTTTGACATGCCGTGCTCAGTCAGACGACCCGTTGTTTTTCACTCTATATTGCGTTGTGTGCTGATGGCTCGGGGGTTAATGATTAGCCTTTGGGTTAGGTTCAATGTGTTGGTATTTAAATTGAATTATAGTTTATAACAACATCTAATTTGTATCTGCACTACAATTAAATGAATCAAGAGATTATTTAATACTTAAGTATTGTTGATGATCTAATCATTGGCATTTTGAAAGGTTCAGAGCCCGTACAGAATTTGGTAGGCATCTTGAACAATTGTTTCATTTGTTAAAGGATCTATGACTTAAACAAAATCAGGACTATAGATTTAAAAACTAAACTCTTTACCTACATGTATCATGTAGACGAATACACGTGGTAGACATTCGTTTACCCGCACCCTACTTTTTTTTTTTTATATTTCTCAAAATTAAAACATAATCCATCGCTCATTTTCGATCTCATTTATTTTCGTCAAGTTTTTAGATGAAAATTCAAGTTCTTTTTTGACTGATTCGCGTTGGAGCGTGGTCGAAAACGGACGTGTTTCGCGGAGCTCTGTTTATTTTGATTATTTTATTTTTCAAATAATTGTTTGCGGTCAGTACTCTCGATCAAGGGGGGTGACTCTAACTACCATGCAGGAACAAATGTTTTTTGCTCTGGTTAGCTGCACGCAAGCTGAGTAGATAGAAAGAAGATTGATGATGATTCTGAAGATTTCCTGCAAAAAGATGATGCGCGATGAAAGTAGATGCGAGAAATGAAAGAAAATTTTTCGAAGATTTATTCGAGATGAGAGATTTGTTGAGCGTCTTAAATTAAGATTTAGATGTGTCACCCCCTCGCTCTCGATCGCCGTTTACTCTTTGAACAATAGATATGACGAGATAATCGGTTCTCTTCATTAAACGGTGGTAGAAATCTATATACGTATGTGATTTTTTGCAATTGCTAGATGCTGAAATGCCCTGATGTCGTTCGATGTGTGACATATCCGTGCATGTTCCGTTGCATAGTGCAGAGTTTCCGTCTTCTATCCTTTTTAATGGAGACGGTAAAGTTCAGTCCAGTGAATGGGTGTAGAATAGCTTCAAATCGGAATTAATGCGTAGTCATCGAAGCTTATTATTAGAAGCCACATGGACATTCGATTTTGTGATTATTGTGCGGTTTGTTAGTTATGATGTTGAGCAAGATTTTTTTGACTTGCTACTTGAACCCGAGGGAAGTGATGCGTGTCTGAGTTATGCGTTAACTTTCCGTTATTTTTTTCTCTTGTGAGAGTTTTGATTGTTCGACTTAGAAAGAAAGCACATTCCGAGTGCCCGGTGGACAACGGTGTTTTCGTTGAAGGAAGTATGACTATGTAATTACAGGTAATTGCTATTAGATATTTTTGCAGACAGTGACCGATGGTGGACTTGAAGATCTAGTGGAGGTGCCGGGCAAAAGTGTTATATCCTAGACAAATGTGAAGTTCTAAATTGGTGATTGTCGTCGTCGTAGTCGCCGTTGGCAGTACCGTTCATATATTTAAAATTAACCAGCAACCGCTGAAACTATATGAATTACCGCGTATCTCTGTTGTTCATTACATGGTTTTGAGATGCTCTATGACCCTGGAGGGATCGTTTTTGCTTACCGAGCAGAAAATCATGGGTTTAATCTCAAGCTCTCCCACAACAGAATAAACCGCCATCGCCGGGTTTCGAGAGCATAAAGCGCCGTAATAACTAAAAGTTGAAATGTTTAAATCACTATCGCATTGGAACTTTTCCTTAGCTCTCAATAAACCATAAACTTTAAAATGCATACACACTAAATCCAATCTACGAAGTATTCCGTAACAACAGAGTTTGATACCAAAAACGAACCCCTCTGCAAACCCTACCCCATACATCCAGAATCGCATTGCACAAATGTTCTAGGCTCGGTGGTTTCGGGTTTCGCAACCACACAAATATTGAAATTCAATCGAGAAATTGTTCGTGTTAATTATAATGTCACATCAAATGGTTGGTCACTTTGCACAGTGTGCCAAAAATACAGATGGACACACCTGGGCACTTTCATTGGCACCCATGGTTGGAAATTTTCATGATATTTAAATTTACTGACTGTACTGACAAGTGTCAAAATGTTAATTATTTCTGTTGATACAATCCAATTTTTGATTTCATAACTTCAACCGTGAATTTCCCGGCGAAGTTCTGCCATGGATTCCTCACAGCGCACATATTTTCAAAACATTAGGGTGAGCGAGGTCATCAAGGCAATGACCGTTGCCAAGTACAACTGTAATCTGGGGGTCATACTGGAATTCTTCCGGATGTTGCTGGAGTCACTACCGACTTCGAGATCGGAGAACCTCCACTCAAGACGATCGAACTGTTCGAGGATCTGGTGCGGAAGGCTTTTTTTTTTTGTTTTAGAACAGTTTGATCGAAGCTGAGTGGCATCGTACCGGAAGCTGATTGAAAAGATGACCATGAAGGGACTTTTACTGGTCATAATGCCGATTCGGAATGTGAGAGCGAGACCCTAAAGAAGAAAATGAAGAGAACGTTGAAGACGTAGATCGATTTGGGGCGGGGAGATTCGTGATGGAGTTGAAATCACAGCTGAAGGAGGTTAAGAGGAATTGTAAGATGTTGATTGGCCAGTTATTGGGCTTGACATCGGTGAGTTGATTGAAGGATAGGTTTAGCTCTCAGACACGACCCTGGTA